GGGAGTTCTGTTTCTGAGTCTTCCTCAGGCCCACTCTGGCCAATGCTGGGAACAGTTTCAAAGTAGTGGGTTTGTCTTTGGAGCTTACCCCCCACCTCTTCAGGAGCTGCCATGGGTCCTTCATGCCTTTCTCAGCATCTCTTTTCTCTGCTGCTTAGGTTCCCTCTGGTCTGGAGGGAGGGGACTGTGGAAGCCCATTCTCATCTAAGCATTAGTGACTCATGCTACTCCTTCAGACTTATTTAAAAGAGCTTTAAAAATGGGTGCCTAAGAGAACAATATCTGACCCAAAGGAATGACTCTAATGGAAGAATTGAAAGTACTATGGCACCTGCTCAGGGAAGATAATTTTTGGTGGAGTGGGGGTGGGTCCCAGCGCTGCCTCTGAAATCACTCTGCCTAAGAAGACTCCTGCTATTACTCTTGAGTAATAGACTCCTTCCCTAAGTAATCAGGATACACGTGAGAGGAAAACCTCCTGCTGGTATGATTGTAAGGTGTGGTTAGATCCAGACTTCAATGTGTGTGTGTCCTGGTCTCTGTGTCATCATCTGTCCCGGGTATACCTGTGCTCTTGTTCTTCCAGCCTCAGAGGGAGTGAGCCTGTATCTGGCCCTTGGATCCAGTCCCTGCCTTGTACCTCTTCTCTGCTCCTGAAGACTGGCCTGCCCTCTGGCTTCCAGTTGGGTTCAGCTTTTGGGGGGAATAGGCAGGAGATGACGGAGGGAAGAGGGAGAGGTTGGGTGTTTATACCCTGCCCCCTCACCGCAGGTTGGCTGTGACTCTCTGCCAAAGGCTGCATCACCTCTCCATACAGCCACCCTCTCCATGTCAGGTGACAGCTCCCTTTCTGGGCCTTTGGGTTATGCCAACTCCCGTTGCCAGCCCCAGGTCCCTGCACCACCCTCTGTGGGTCTGTTTACATCCTCTGCCCAGCTTTGTAAATTGTCCCTTTTTGAAACTCTCCTCCTTTCCCCATGTGGCTATCCTGTCTGTCTAGGACCCTGACATGTAGGAGGGTCACCAGCTCAGAAGGTTGAAGGTGTAGAGTGCCCCTTACCCCCAAGTGCCTCCCATCTCCTAGCTGAGGCTTCCTGAGGGGAGGCTCTGTCTCTGACTGGAATGCAGGAGTCTGGAAGACAGGCTTGATCTTCCCAGGTAAGGCCCTGGGCTTTGCCACTGCCTCCTAGGTGGCCCCTCTTCACCATTCGTGGCAGGAAAACCTGTTTGCATTGGGAAGCCCGCATTCTGGGCACACGAATTTGGTGCCCAGATGGTGCTTGTGTTTACAAAAGCCCAGCACACTGACAGGACCCGCAGACACATGAATAAATATTTTGCTTCTCTTCTCAGGCAATATTTAAGTCTTTCAAACCTAATTGCTGTCGAGGCAGGATGCTCGTGTCCCTGAGGCAAAGAAACAGTGAGGCCTCCAACGGGGCCACAGCTGTGGCAGAGGCCCCGCCAGGCTCCCTGGCCGGCCACCTGAGGTGTCTGTCGCCAGCTCCTTGCTCCTGCCGAGTGCGCTGGGGGAGATTCGGGCTAAGGGAGGTGACTGCAGCCCACCTGGAACCTGTGGTTATTTGTTGAGTTGTTTTGACACTGAGATAACCTGAGTTTAGCCCCAAATCAGGTACTTTTCTGAGACATTACTGGTGGGCGCCAATCTGGCTGTAACCAGTGGGATTTTGGGAGTATTTTGTTTGATCTTCAAATTGTTGCGTGTAGGGCAGCTGCTAGCTTCTATGACACCCTTGTGCAGGTTAGACTGAGGCATTCCCTCTGGCAGGGGCAATGCTCCCCTATCTCAGCAGGGGGCAAGCACGGTGAGTGGGGCAGTGGCTGGATTTCAGCATCCGGTATCCTCAGAGGTGTTCTTGTCAGGGCATAACCTGCTCAGTGGTACCTGTCCAAGGCAGTACTCAGCCAAGGTAGTTGCTGATGGTATTCTTGTTAAAATCCTCTATCCTTTTATATGTTTTAAATCTTTCCTGTTTCTTTTCTTCCTTTTTTTTTCTTTTAAAACACTGTCCTTTTTGCCCCTTGGATGACATTTCCAGGTGCAGTGAGAGGCCCCTGTGTGCATTTGCCATTTCTTCCATCTCACTGTGACTAATAAGCCTCTCTGTATACTGTCCACACAAGGAAGGAGTGTTGCTGTTGACACACAGAGTTCTGCAGCAATCACGTCCTTTTATTCATTACGTTCGAATTTGCCTCAATTATGTCAATCCCCTGTATATAATAGAAGCTGTTGGATCCCTTGCCCACTGTGGTCTTATAAAGGGCACCTCATATTAGTCATTCCTTTCTTCAAAGCACATGTTATTGGTGCTCACCCTGTGCTGGGAACTAGGGAGATAAAGATGAATGGATAGACAAGTCCCTGCCCTTGAGAAACTCATAATCTAGTGGGGGAGTGAGGCATGTAAACAGATAAATCACAGCCCATGGGTGTGCTTGCTGGGCAGGACAGGAGCCCGAGGAGGAGGGGGTGGGGCCAGTGATGCCTACTGCTAGGCGCTGTGGGCACAAGGAAGACTTTGCTAGGAGCTGCCATTTAGGCCTCCTCTGAGGACAAGTAGACATGTATCATGTGAAGAAAGGCAGGGAGGAGAGTAGGTGCAGTGTCCTGAACAGGTAGGGCACAGTCGGGGCAAGGTGGGAAGGGCCACCTGGCTAGAGCCCAGGGTGTGTGATGACTGGGCTGAAGGGGACCTGGAGTGGGGGCTGGGGCTTTGTGAGGAGTATGGGGTACTGTGGGGGTAAACAAGACCACATTTTCCTTTCTGGAAGACACTCCAAGCAGCAATGTGGAGAGTGGCCAGGTGGGGGAAACTCAATCAGACAGTTCTGGGTTCTCATCCTTGAGCTGCTACTTCCTTGAGCAAGTCACTCAATATTCGTGAGCCTCCATGTTCTTATTTGTAAAATAGGGGGATGTTCATGATAACGCCTTCTTCATTGGGTTGTATGAGGATTAGGTAGGACAGTGTTCATGACAGCGTTCCTGCTGGTGGGATAAGTATGGGACATGAATGGGTTACATGTGTGGATGTTGGTTTCTTCAGCCTCCAGGAAGGCTGGGCAGGGCCTGGAAGCGCTTCTGCTTATCCCAAGTCCTCACACACTTCTCTGTGGGCACCATGACATAAGTCAAGGTGGGAATTGCAGATCTACAAAGCACTTGGCATGGCTCTCCTACCTAGTAAGTCTCAGTAAACAAGGCTGTCCACTGACATCAGTCCTTATTCATGTGACTACTACAGAGAGAAGTGGGGAAAGAGAAGAGAGGCTGGACCTAGGGACATTTCTGAGGTAGAGCTGGCAGAATTTGGTGGCCAGTTGGATGTCAGGGAGGAGGGGCACCACCGGAGAGGAGGAGGCCTTGGGATGATTGTGGGATCTGGGATGTCATAGACCAGATGGGAGGTTGTGCTAGTAATGGAAACTGGAGTGTGTGGGTTTGAGGTATGAATGTGAATTGAGGAAGTAGAGACCCATCTGGTAGCCTACTTTGTTCCAGGAGTAGCAAGTTAGGGAAGAATGAAGACAAGGTGGCGATGTGTCAGGGGGAATGCTGGGGGCATGTGAGAGACCTCAGGATGCTGTAGGCTAAGGAGACAGAAGCAGAGGATTTGACAAATCAAAGACAAAAGGAAAAGAGTGCATAGCACTTTGCCCAACTTCACTTCTTTGGATAGCGTCTGTCCCATTGGAGAGTGGCTGCCAATAACTGGCAGTTGGGCAGCTGTCCAGGCATGATTTACAGGAAGGCATTGGTTTCACGAGAGGCACTGTCTAAATTATTGCACTTCTCCAATTGCCAGGTTTCCCTGCTGACAGTGAACCAGGGGTCAAACAATTCAATCAGGTGCCACCACTTATAAATTGAAAATCAGTGGGGTGCAAAATGGATTACCATCAAAATCTATTCAGGTGCAAAACCAAATTTTAAAACCCCTAACCTTTAAAAATCATTCCTTTCCTGATTCTTCATGATGCCCTGACATTGGGTTTTAATATCCCTCAAATAAGCAAACATCCATGGAAATGCCTGCAGGGACTAAGAGTATCAAGGGAAGAACTCCTAATCATGCCTTCCTGTTGGAATTTGCAAACATGGTGGATTTATGAATTAATACATTGGCAATTCTATTACCTTCTCCAAGGCAGAGGTTCTCAAACTTAAGTGTATAACAGAATCACCTGGAGGGCTTATTAAAATTGAGATTGCAGTCTTGACCTCAGTGTTTCTGATTCAGTAGGTCTGGGGTCAGGCCTGGGAAATTGCATTTCTAGCAAATAATCAGAGGATGCTGATGCTGCAGTCCCAGAACCATAGCTTGAGAGCCTCTGATGTGAAATCTTGGAAAATTTTGATAATTTGACTAACCAAGCATGCATTGGTCAATAAAAACAAATCAGTAAAAGTCCTATTGGACCAGTTGTTGACTTGTTGAGTGTGTTAAGGGGCTTTAATTTTGTCCAAGAAATCTGAGAAGAGACCGATTCAAGGAAATAGGGATTGATCTGAGTGCTTTGTGTTCACAGGTAAGGTTGGGGGATGGGATATAGAAAAGGGAAGCGGCCCCTCTAACAAATGACATCATTAAGGTCAAAGCCTGCTCTCTGTTGGTCCAGGGGTGCAAACCAATAGTGTCTTTTGATGCCTTGACTTGAAAGTTGAGTTTCTTAAGATTAAACAAACATGGGTACCACCTTCTTATCAAGCCATCAGCCTAAACTGTGGCCCTCCCCATCTCTGAATGATGCTAGAGATATGTTTTTTTATTTATTTATCTAAATTGATTGGTGTCTGATATTAGTTCTTCTCTGTTATTCTTTTGGAGTCAAAGTTACTGCCTTGCATAAAGAGTAGGTGTCACTAGGGTCAATATAAAACTGGTCCCTTTCCCCAAAGAAAAATGGATCCTGGAAACTGCCCCCAAAATGATTGCTGCCTCATTAACATTTGGTTTCCTGTCTATCTTTGCCAGGAGAAATTGAGCGATGCACATACATCAAATACCACTACTCCTCAGCCACCATCCCAAGGAATCTCACTTTCAACATCACGAAGACCATCCGCCAGGATGAGTGGCATGCCCTGCGTAAGTACACCCGATTCCTTCTTTGACTGTGACCTTTGGAGGGCTCGGGGGCTTGAATGCCCATCAACAGCTTGGTCTGGACAGATGGATGTGCCTCCTTCTGAGGGCTGTGGACAATCTCAGCACATGGAGGCAGGTCCTCAAAGTGTCCATGTCTGTGGGTCAGAATTGCCTCAGTTGGTTTTGATTGTATTATAGATCTGAGGAGTCTGCTTCTAAAATTAAGACAAAAACAAACAAACAAACAAACAAACAAAAAACAACTAGCAGTTAGACACTGATCAGTGATCATTCATCACTGCCCTGGTAGGCACTTGAGATTTCACCTACCTGACCCAACCAACTCCTGGGATTTCATTTGAGCCTGTCTCCCAGTTGCTTGGAGTATTATTGTGGCAACCTGTTAATCCCTTGTGTCATCCTTTGCACATGGTGTGATTGCTGTTGGTTTAGGGCTACATCACTTTGGGAATTTGCATTCGGGTGGGGTCCCCTACTTACAAGTTTTTGTTTCCCTCAGAGTGATAGGCTTTGGGACCCTGGTTCTCATGCAATTGCTTAGCAAAGATCACAATGTCTGCTTCTATTGTTGGGGAATTTCTTGGTCAGAGATCCTCAGAGACTTAAATTATGATGGAAGTGTGACTTAATGAGCAAACAGAGCTAGCTGGCTATTTTTACCCTTCTGTTCCATGGGGGCTACCTGCTGTGTGTCATGAAACTCGCCTTCATTGCTGGCACGGTTCTTCAGGTGAACACATCCTTACTCCTTAGTAAGCCTCATGCTGCCCTTGTTTCTTGTCATTTCTTTCCTATTCTGGCTTTTTTCACATGTCTCAAGGTTAAGATTCAGTTTACATTGCTATGTGAATGAGGGCCTTTTACTGTTTCTTGATAAAAAGGATGGTAAACTTTGATGAAGGCCAAAAACACCTTTCTTCTCCTTATTGCTGCCTGGTTATTTTTTGCATGCCTGGGCCTTCCAGGTATATTTCACTTTTTGGTTTGGCTTTAATCAAACAACCATAGTTTGGAGTGGGAGGTGAGAGAGACAAGTAGAAGTAAACAAAAAAGATCAATCATTCATTGGTTTCAGGAAGAAGCTGTGGCCAGGATGGTTGTTCCTACCTGCCACTAGCTCGAAATGATATGGCAGATGTCAGTGGATGGAAAGGCATTACCCAAACGGTTGTCCCTACAAGCTTTGTCATCATGAGAGACACTAACCGGGAAATGGGCCAGAGAGGTCATGTTCAAAGACTGTTCCTATGTGCTAGCCATTCAGTAAAGCACACCATATGCTATTTAATCCTAATGTGAGTGTTGTCTCAGAGGGTCTAAGAATTGGGCCTATTAATTTCCTTTTTGGAGGTAGACATGTAAGGAGTCAACTTCATAAATACATGACCATGGCTGCTTATTTCTCACATTGCATTGGTCTAGTGCCGTGGTCGGCAAACTGGCTCGCGAGCCACATGCGGCTCTTTGGCCCCTTGAGTGTGGCTCTTCCTAAGCCTTAGGAGTACCCTAATTAGTTAATAACAGTGTACCTACCTATATAGTTTAAGTTTAAAAAATTTGGCTCTCAAAAGAAATTTCAGTCGTTGTACTGTTGATATTTGGCTCTGTTGACTAATGAGTTTGCCGACCACTGGTCTAGTGTAGTCGGTTATAGAAGCCTTAGAGGCTTAGAGGAATGTTCAGGATACACAATAGGCCTTGCTGAATAACCACTTAAATATAATTTAAGTCATAGTGGTTATAATAGAATATAAGGAGGAAGAAGTTATTGACATAACAGCTTCAATTCAAATTCACGCAGTTCAACCAAAGTTGCTGTGTTTCTTTATGTACCGTCACATGGTGGATACTGAGGCCACAGCTTACATCTGGAGGCGAATGAGGGTGGGGTAAAGAGAGATACATTCACACAGCAAGTGATTATGAGGCAATGCCATAATTATGATAATTATGATATAATAAAATTGTTTCTAGCAATGAAAATAGTTTGTGAAAGTTTTTCAGCAAGGAGGAGGATTATTTTAGCATCAATTGCAGTCAGTTGCACAGATGCACTTCAAGGGAAACCTGATAAAACTCTTTTGGCTGTCTATCCAGTAGACTTCTGGAATTCACGTTGGTCGCAGTACCACTGAAAATATGTTGCATGACACTGGTGGAGGAGGGAAGAGGCTGATGCTGAGGTTCGTGGAATGTTCTTGAGCCTGATGTCTCCAGGGTCCTCATTCCTGAACTGTAGTGCCGCTGGGTTGTGCAAAAACCAGTGTGCAGCTTATGCTGTGAATTGAGGTGCTCACAGATCTATTTTTAACTGATCGAAACCATCTCCACCACTGATATTTGCAAAGGTTTGGGGCACCACGTGTTGGTGAAGTGGAGGCTGCCCTTTAGTGTGAGATTCATCTGCCTCTCTCACTGAGTGGCCTAATGGGCTGTTGAGTAGGCAGAGAACATTTGCCATTCCTGACATCGATGGCAGCTATTTTTAGCCAGAGGGCAGGTGAGCATCTGTCTCATCTGAAGTTGGTGCTACACGTCATTGGCAAAGCTGGCATCCTGGGGACACATGGTAAATGTCCATTCTAGTTTTCAAAGGTCAGATAGTGATGGCACATAAACCTCCTTGGAAATAAAGTAGAAACTGTCAAAGGTTAGCAAACTCCTAAGATCAAGCTCTGGAAATTAAAAAAAACCCCCAAAACTCTAACTTATTTACTTGAAAGTCCTTTGCTCTTTAATTTTATTAATGGGATCAAATACATTCATTTGACACTAAATTGGTTATTATTTTATAAGTTGACCATTCTATCTTACATTCTATAGTTTTTCTCAGTAGATAATTTTTGCCAAAGTGAAGAATTTTGATTTTGTTTTCTGAAACAACTGGCAAATATTTTGGACTTTGGTTAAATTTAGACTCTACATTTTTCGTCAAGAATCTGCATGTGATCATCAACCGTTGATGAGGAAAACAATTTGCAATAGGAAAACACACAGTTTGGTTTGAAATTTATGCCAGTGGCTTTGGAACAGTCAGCCCCACCCATGGGAGGCATAACTATTTGGCTGTGAGCTCATTCACCTTATGGTCAGGCGAGCAGCATGTGAAAAACTTCAAATCCAAGTGCAAAGAAATAATAACCACCTTGGGACGTAAAGGCCAGGACACCACGCGCGCATGTGTGTGTGTGTGTGTGTGTGTGTGTGTGTGTGTGTGTGTGTGAGAGAGAGAGAGAGAGAGAGAGAGAGAGAGAGAGAGAGAAAGAGAGAGAGAGAGAGAGAGAGAGAGAGAGAGAGAGAGAGAGAGTGTGTGTGTGTGTGTGTGTGTGTGTGTGTGGTGGTCTCCGTGTATGAGGTCTGAATGCTGAGTTGTCTGAGTGACGTGGTGACAAGCCTCTGGCTTTGGATTGCATGGTGATTGCTGGTGACATATTGTGTGTGCGGTGCCCGTTTGTCCTTCTACCCTGACCCGAGCTCCCTGGGAAAAGGCAGAACTCCTTCTGGAGTTGGGACCAGTGGCCTCAGTCCACCCTGGCCTGGCCACCTGTCCAGGGCAGCCCACCTGCCTTCCTGCCTGCCTGCCCAGGCCCGGTTCCACCCATACCAGCCCCTCCTTCAGAAGCCCTCACCTCTCAGTGACAGCTTCCCAGGCCCTGCTGCCTCCCACTCCTGGCTGCTAAGTCCTGGTCACGGGCACCCAGGCTCCCCTCCCACCATCTCCCCTTGCCCTGCCACTAGGCAGGTGCTCTCATTTGGTCCCTGTGACCTGAGCATTTGTCCAGCTTGTGCACTCCTGACCCAGATCCGCCTGCCACCTCTGAGCTGGAGCAGGGCAGATGAGGGGTCACCAGGCCAGTGAGGACAGGATGGTGGCTGCAGGGGATGAGCTTGTCTAATGCCACTCTCTGGGTGGATTTTCTGGTTCAGTGTTTTGAATATGACAGAATCAGATTAGCAGTGGTCAAGGGGAAGCAGGCTGGCATTGTGGTGGCATCTTAAACGGTGCTGTCTTCTCCTGTAAACTTTTCAGTGTGAGCTTGCAAGGCTTGTTTGGAGAATTCTGTGTCCTGTGCCCAAGGGCGCCTGAAGTCATCTGAGTGGCTCGAGCTTTGCTCTTCCTGTCACGGGTGTCCCTTTGGCATGTCCTTTCAGCACAGCTAAGGGCCAGGGCACTTCCCAGTAGCAGGGCAAGGGGAGATGAGATGGTGGGAGGGGAGCCTGGGTGCCCGTGACCAGGACTTAGCAGCCAGGAGTGGGAGGCAGCAGGGCCTGGGAAGCTGTCACTGAGAGGTGAGGGCTTCTGAAGGAGAGGCTGGTGTGGGTGGAGCCGGGCCTGGGGATGCACCAGGAGACCTAGGAAGGCTGGCCTGGGTGCCCAATGGAAGGTGTGAGAATGGTGGCCCTTTCTCACCGCCAGATCTCCCAATCTACTTGGCAGGGACTCTGGGCAGCTGCCACGGAGGTTCCCTGGGTCCAAGCCCTGAGACTCTGTGCTGTGAGCTCAGGTTTTCTCATTCTGCTTGGCATCTTCAAGATGGAGGTTTCAGCTCACAGTTGATTGCCCCTGGCAGAGGGAATCGGGAGCTGGGACTCCACTTCCGTGCAATCAGATCTTCTTATCTTTCAAGAGGCTGAGAGCCAGGAAAGCTAGAGGTTTTTTATTTTTTATTTTTTAAGCCACCTCCTGTCAAGACTGAGATTTCAGCTAATTAGATCAGATGGTCACAGGGCACATTTCCAGCTGGCCCCCGAAGGAGAATGAAAGAGAGATGACCTCCTCCCCTCCTCCCTGCTCCCTACCCTTTCCTCCTGAGGGCACTCACACCACCCTAGTCGACACAAACACACACTCACACAGTGGCCCTGGAAAGCGGAATCAGGAGAAATAAGACTAGCGGTTTAAGAGGGAGGGAGGAGACAAGGTAAGGGGCCGTGGGGAGAGAGGGAAGCAGACAGACAGACAGACCGAAATGGAGACT